ACAAGTGCTAGTCTCCCACCTTTCCTAGTCTCCCCTCTCCTAGTCTCCCACCTTTCCTAGTCTTCCCTCTCCTAGTCTCCACCTTTCCTAGTCACCCCTCTCCCTCCAATCTCCCCTCTCTGCCCTTTCACTTACCTATCCCTGCCCCGGTATTTTCTCCCTTTTCCCTACCTCTCCTATTTATTCCTCTCTCCCTACCTCGATTTCCTCCTCTCTCCCTGCCTCCCTTACTTCCTCCCCTCCCTAACTCTCCTATTTATTGTGTATGCATGTATGACTGTGTATGAATACTTGTGTATACAAATGTACATATTCATCCAGGCACGTTCATATGGATGTATACATATGATAGAAGATATTATCAAAAAGAAGCGCTAAGCCACAAGGGCTATACAGCGCTGTGTATACATATGAAGGAATGTATACATACAGTAGATAAGTATTAATGTAAGACAACATTCACTGTAAGAGACAAATAGTGAATCAAATGTAAAGTATGAATAGTTAATGGAAAAGTATCACTCACCATCACTCATGACTCACCATCACTCATGACTCACCATCACTCATGACTCACCATCACTCATGACTCACCATCACTCATGACTCACCATCACTCATGACTCACCATCACTCATGACTCACCATCACATCACTCACCATCACTCATGACTCACCATCACTCATCACTCACCATCACTCATCACTCACCATCACTCATCACCCACCATCACTCATCACCCATCCTCATCACTCACCATCACTCATCACCCACCATCACTCATCACTCACCATCACTCATCACCCACCATCACTCATCACTCACCATCACTCATCACTCACCATCACTCATTCACCATCAATCACCCATCACTCACCATCACCACCATCACTCATCACTCACCATCACTCATCACCCACCATCACTCATCACTCACCATCACTCATCACTCACCATCACCCATCACTCACCATCACTCATCACTCACCATCACCCATCACTCATCACTCACCATTACTCATCACCCATCACCCACCATCACTCACCATCACCCACCATCACTCACCATCACCCATCACTCATCACCCCATCACTCACCATCACTCATCACTCACCATCACTCATCATCACCCATCATTCACCATCACTCATCACCCATCATTCATCACTCACCATCACTCAGTCACCATCAATCACCCATCATCACTCACCATCACCCACCCATCATACTCATCACCCATCACTCATCACTCACCATCACTCATCACTCACCATCACCCATCACTCACCATCACTCATCATCACCCATCACTCACCATTACTCATCACCCATCACTCATCACTCACCATCACTCATCACCCACCATTACTCATCACCCATCACTCATCACCCACCATCACTCATCACTCACCATCACTCATCACTCACCATCACCCATCATCAATCACCCATCATTCACCATCACTCATCACCCATCATTCATCACTCACCATCACCCATCATCACCCATCATCACCCACCATCACCCATCATCACCCACCATCACTCACCATTTATCACTCACCATCACTCACCATCACCCACCATCGCTCACCATTTATCGCTCACAGGCGGTGCAACATACCCCCACTGAAAAGTAGGGACGCCATTAGTACACTAAGAGAAAACACAATAAGTGTCCAGGGCCCAAGACTGTTCAACAGCCTTCCACCAGCCATAAGCGGAATTACCAATAGACCCCTGGTTATCTTCAAGAGGGAGCTGGACAGATACCTAAAGTCTGTACTCGATCAGCCGGGCTGGGGTTCGTAAGTCGGTTTACCTGCGGGCAGCAGTAACAGCCTCGTTGATCAGGACCTAATCCACTGGTGAAGGTGAAGGAATGGGCCGCGGGGGCGTTGACCCCCGGAATGCACTCCAGGTAGACTCCAGGTAGGTAAATAACCCACCATCAACCAGTATCACTATTACCCACCATTATTCACAATCACCCACCATTCCATATCAATCAACCAATCACTTAACCCATCACTCCATTAACCCACCAACCACCTCACCTGGACTGCTGCTCCAGGACGCTGGTACCCATCACCCATTTACCCACATCACTCATTTACCTACATCGCCCTTTTCCCCACATCACCCACCACTCATTTACCCATATCACCCATTAACTTTTTTTACAGTTCCATTCTTCTCAAACTTTGCACCCCCTCCCTCACTCTTCCCTCTTCTACTTCCCCTCCCTCCCTCTCTCCATCCCCTCCCTCTCTCCCTCCCTCCCGCATCTTCCCTCCCCTCACCACCTCCCCAATTTGCATATGAATGGAGACCAATACAAACGTATTTTACGTCATTTGACGAAGTGTCACAATCCGTTGTCATGTGCGTCATGTGTGCTTGTCACGTGTATGCATGTGTACGTATAAGCGTAGTAAGCCATGTGCATATCGTGTTACATATTCTTCACGTGTACGTTGTCAAGTGGTCCGTGTACACGTCAACTTGGTGCTAACCTCACGTTTATGAGGGTACCGAGCTCCAGCTCCTGAGCTCTCGCACGACAACCTTCATTTACCGGCTCTAGTTTTTTCAACACCTGCGCCGTACCTACTTCTCAAACTGTGTATGTTTGTCTTAGCTCCCTAGCTCGCTACTTGCTGTGGGTTCTACCTGGTGTGATTTCTACCATTTGTGGATTCTACCTGTTGTGGGTTCTACCTGTTGTGAGTTCTACCTGTTGTGGGTTCTACCTGTTGTGGGTTCTACCAGTTGTGGATTCTACCAGTAGCGGGTTCTACCTGTTGTGGGTTCTACCCGTTGTGAGTTCTACCAGTTGCGGGTTCTACCAGTTGTGGGTTCTACCTGTTGTGAGTTCTACCTGTTGTGGGTTCTACCTATTGTGGGTTCTACCTGTTGCGGGTTCTACCTGCTGTGGGTTTAACTTATTGAGGATTCAATCTGCTGAGGGTTCTTGAAAGTGATCATGCTCCACTCTGTCATTTTCCTGACCTTCGTCGCGTTCTAGTTACCTTGTTTCCCAGGTAACTGATCCACTGACACATTCTCAAGTCTTTCATCTGTACCTTACCTTTTGCGGGATGGTCTTCTACCACCCCCACTACCACTACACCAATCCCCACCACCATTATCGCCACCACTACACCAACCCCCACCATCACAAACACCACCACCCTCACCATTCTAATCAACAAAACACACCCACCCAATCACGAGGGTACATCTAACAAATTTAACATCAACAAGAACGTCAACCGAGAACTAATAACTTGTCAGCTTACTGACATTTACTGGGAAGGCAATTTGGTAAATGAAGATCTGAACCAGTTGTGAGAGAATGAGCTCAGTGGTCCTTGAAGCATGCTCCAGACACACCATTAAGGAAAAGGTGCAGGCAAGACACGGAGAGGTGCGTCCTCTATATGCGAAGACGACGAATAACAGACAGCAGACTCTCCGAAGGACAGAAAGACTGGCTAGAGATTTGGAAAATGTTGAGCCCAAATTAAATAATAAATTGTTAAAAAAATGATAGGTGAAACAAATATATACAAAATACTTCTCATGTATAAAAATCAGGGAAAAGATCTCCTCTAGTTTCAGCCCTTTGATTAATGAGGCACAAAATGCTGCAGACATTTTCCTAATCTTTGATATAACCTTGCATGAGTTCAAAGAATATTGATTGCATGCCAATACACACTATCCCAGACCCTGACTTACGGAACTCCACATTTATCAAGAGTTGCAAGAAACCATTATCACATTCCTTAAATATTCTGTGAAGGAGCCTGGACACTAAGCCATCTCAGTAGTCATAAACAACTGACGTTGCCCCACTCCATAAAGGTGGCAGTAAAGCGCTTATAAAAACTAAAAACTGATAACTCTGACATCTCACATCAAGATATAGATTTAGAACAAGTCTTTCCTACCTCTAGCAACTGCTGGACAATTACGACATGGCCTTGAATACACAGACAAGAAAGTATATGAAAAAAAAATAATAAATATCGAGTTCGTAAAAGCCTCTGACAACTATGACCGTGGGGTAACTGCTCACAAAATGCGCGCAAAGGGAATAAATGGAAAGGTGGGTAAATGGACATTTAACTTTATAACTAAAAGAACTCAAGAATTAATAGTAAAGTGAGTGACATTAGAAGCGGCTACAGTGAAAAGCTCTGTTCCCCAAGACACAGTACTCGCCCCACTTCTCTCATATCTGACAGGGATTATAAATGAAGTATTTAATCATCCTTTAAAGACGTTACTAAAATCGTCTAATGTGAGACACCTGGGAGTGATAACGTCAGAAGATCTCACCTTCAAACAGCTCAACAATGTTACTGCAACGGCAAGATGCCAAACCAACGATGACACTCTTCAGATAACTCGTTCTCTCTAGGCTGGAATACTGCTGTATATTAACGGCCCTTTTCAAGGTAGGCGACGACATCGCTGAGCTGGAAAATGTACATTGAACCTTCAAAGATCGTATAAACTCAATCAAGCACCTAAATACCTGGGAGCACTAGAAGTCCCTGAAACTGTACTCCTCAGAACGTAAGCGAGAAAGATGCATGATAATCTACACTTGGAAGGTACTGGAGGGATTGGCTCCAAACCTGCACACCGAAATAACTACTTATGAACACGAGAGGAATAAGGGAACTACGATTACGCAGAGATTTCAGTAAGTGTTAAAGGACCACCCTTTCAACGCCCTTCCTCCCTCCCTCCCTTCACACATAAGGCAGATTACCAACAAACCTTAGCTGTCTTCAAGAGGAAACTTAACATATACCTCAAGTCAACTCCTGATCAGTCGGGCTATGGTGCATATGTTGGACTGCGGGCGGTGGGCACAGCCTGCTCGACCAGATTAGCAACCAGGAGGTCTGGTCTGAGACCTGGCAGTGGGGTCAGTGACTTCCGAAAGTGACTACGGGATAAGCAATCCGTGATGCCACTTACCTTCTATAAGAGGTCTACCACCATCACTACTACCACTACTACCACAATCCGCGGCGCCTCACAAACCTGCAAAATAAAATAAAATACAAGCAATTTAACAACAATTAATATGCTATTAGTTATCATAAAAAAAATAATTACCGTTACTGTAATCACCACCATTATTGTTTCAAAATTACTGACAGTCATCAAAATATATAATTTAATAACTTACTCCCCTCCCTACCTCCCTCCCTCTTGGTCTCTCTCTCCCTCCTCCCTCCCTCCCTACCTCCCTCTTGGTCTCTCTCTCTCCCTCCTCCCTCCGTCCCTACTTCCCTCTTGGTCTCTCCCTCCCTCCCTCTCTCTCCTTCTCGTTCTCGCTCTTTCTATTATTCCGTTCCTCTTTCTCTCCCTCCCTCTCTCCCTCTTTCTGCCCTTCCCTCTCTCTCCCTCTTTCTATCCTTCCCTCTCTCCCTTTCTATCCTTCCCTCTCTCCCTCTTTCTATCATTAACTCCCTCCCTCTTCCTATCCTTCCCTCCCTTCTTCCCTCTCTTCCTCTTTCCCTCTCTCCCTGTTTCTCTCCCCTCCCTCTCTCCCTCTTTCTCTCCTTCCCTATCCCCCTCCCAAAATAAAAAAATACAGTAAATCAAACAAGGGAAAGCCAGCTCCATATTCTTAATAAAGTTATCCTTTAAAATGCTTAAGTAGACTACCCACAGCATGGCAGTAATTGTCGCACAGGATCTACTGTGTCTTTATGGAAGAGGGAAGAGAACACAAGGAATTTGTGAGGGCGAAGAGGCTTGGGAGAGAGTAGAGAAAGAAAGGGAGAGATGGGAGGGAGTAGAGAAGGAGAGATGGGAGAGAGTAGAGAAAGAAAGGGAGATATGGGAGGAAGTAGAGAAGGAGAGATGGGAGGGAGTAGAGAAGGAAAGGGAGAGATGGGAGTAGAGAAGAAAAGGGAGGAGAGGGCGAGCAAAAAGAGGAAGCGGAGAAGGAAGAAGTAGTGATGGAGGAGGAGGCTGAGAAGGTAGATAAGATAAGCAGCATAGGTAGGAGAGGAGAGGATGAAAAAGAGTAAAGATAAGGAGAAATAGGAAAGATAAGGTGAGAAAGAGGAAGGATAAGGAAAGAAACAGTAGATACGGTGGTAGAAGAGACTAGAATAAGAGCAAGGAGCTCTGGGATGAAGGACTGACCACAACAAACAATTCAAAACTCGCAGAAATGGATTCAAATTGAATAAATTTCTATTTATAAAAAATTGATAGAAAAATTATAGGTTTGTCAATAGAGTTGTCGATGAGTGTAACAAACTGAAAAGCAGCTCCAGTCAACCAAACACTTTAAAAATCTTTAAAGAAATAGCTTAGTCAGACGCACAAGTGGCAACTGGTGGGTGCGGGTCCTGTCTTCCACTCAAGGGGTCGGAAAATCTACAGTACACCTTCTCTATCCTCATGATTTTAATGGTTCTTAAAAGCTCAATACTGTTGTCTTGCCTACGATAGTTTAATGCCTGATCGCAGACTTCGTTTGTTAAAAAAAAATCATATTTAATGCATGCAAAGTAATAGTTACGTGAGATGCCAGATGAAGTTGTTCCTCTGGAATAAGTGAAGAGATATAAACTAGAAGAGGGTAAATAACAGTAGAAAGGAAGAATATTAGAGACCTGGATGAGTCAGTTTTGATAGATGTTACTCAAATAACCCGCACATAAAAGAGAGAAGCTTACGACGACGTTTCGGTCCAACTTGGACCATTTATGTGCGGGTTATTTGTGTATCGTTCCAGTCACGGTATTGTTCCTTTTTGTTATTTATAGATGTTACTGTTAAGGATCACAAACTGTGACTATCGCAACTGGAAGGAAAATGACTGGTTAGTTTACGTGAACCTTCAAAATAAGAAATGTCAAGGTTATGATGATGATGATAATGCTTAAGCACTTGCACTTTTTAAACAGAAATAATGTTTTACTCTAGTAGCCACGTTTAATACAGGAAACAATGTAAATGTAGTGTGTGTGTGTGTGTGTGTGTGCGTGTGATTTTTATTCTGTTCAGTTAGACAGGACATACACATTCTTAAACTTGTTTTGTTTGGATTAGTTCAGGAAGGGCTTCTCAAGCTCTTCAGATTTCTTCCCTTTTTTTCATATTCATCACAATTACTGTGTTTTTAACCAGCACAAATTAATAATTTCAGAAAATTCTGATTATACTGACATGGGACGCAACGGAAATAAGTTATTTTGTCTGTTTTTTTTTTTTTTTTAGGGTTATCCTAGGTAATTTACACATGTGTAACTATGAATGATAATCGTATTTAAGTGTACCTGTGCCCCATCAGACTCCCTCCCTCCCTCCCTCTCAACTCCGCCTGTTGCCCATAGATCGTACAAGCATCCTAACCTTTTATATTCATTATATGAATTTTCAAAAATTTTCTCCTGCCGGAGTGCGGCCTGACAAGCCTGGGACTCCTGCCGGAGTACCAGGCTTGTCTGGTGCTGGCCTGGTCTACCAGGCTTTGGCTACTGGAGGCCCACTGGCCCACGTAAGACAGTGAGTCTCTTCCAGACATCAACTAGATGTGAGAGTCCGTAATTTTGTAGCTACATCGTGGTTACCACTCCAGTGTTCTCAACTCCGATATTAACAATAACCCTCTCAGAGTAAAACAGTTTTCACAGAATTTAAATCTTTCTCTCCCATGTACATAAAGGTGATGATGCCTTCCTTTATTTTATGGCCTTAATACTACATGTAATTTATAAGATTCTCTCCGTAGACATCTCCAATATAATTCCCATATATGAAAGAGCGTATATTTCTACAATGATGTCTCGACTACTTGAAAAAGTTGTTAATGATTTTTCCTGGCGGAAGTGGAGGCTGACAGTGCTCTGGCACGCCAGAACCACTTTCTCGGACTGGTCACCAGATGGCTTAGCATGCAAGGTAAGACGTGAGATTGTCATGTGTGTGGTGTGTATTTTTGTAGTATCGTGTGTGTTACCACTCCAGGGGGTTCTCTTGGTGATTCACTATCACCTGAATAACAACAGTTTTCCTATTTTAACTCTTTGCTTCACATGGTCACAGACAAGTGTTGTATCTTCTTATTTTCTGGGCCGTTAATCATTAATTTAAATTCTGTTCCGTAGTTCATCTTAAACCGAATAGAAAGAAGAAATTGTATCATTATGATGTCACAGTTCGAGTGAAGTGGTGGTTTGGCAGGGGTGAGAATGTTGGGCAAATAACCCCTGGCATACTCATCCGGATATCGCACTGTCTAGTGTGCTGCAAGAACATGCTTTTGTTTTTTTTTGTTTCCCTGGGGAAGGTTTACCGTACCCAGATGTCCTTCACTTGGCGAATCTATCACAATCAACAATTATCTATATTGTAGACCATGCTGAACTGTCTGGCCCCAGACAATTGTATCCATTGTTCTGCCACCCTTATTCATAATTTTCGCGCCACTCATGTGCTGCCGAACGATAGGCAATTGTCACTTATATGACCCACCGTCGCCTCGCAATCTTAGTCAGGGAAGCCTGGCATCAAAACAAGTACATACGCTTCTTCTGGATGGCTCGGCCCTGTCCAGGGCCTGGCCAAACACCAACACTGTTTTACCAACACTTTTTTGATCAACTAAAGGGTTAGAAGCCTCAGTATGCATCACTTACCCGCGCTGTCAACAGAATCAAGCTATTATATATATATATATATATATATATATATATATATATATATATATATTATATATATATATATATATTATATATATATATATATATATGTCTTGCCGAATATGTAAAACTGGTCAATTAGCAAGAACTCATTTAAAATTAAGTCCTTTCTGAAACTTTCTCTTATACGTTTAAAGATATATTTTTTTCATTAATGTTAATGTAAAAATTTTTAATTTTGCACCAAAAGAATCTTAGAAAACTTACCTAACCTTATTATAACAGGAGCAATTTATTTTAGCCTAACCCAACTAAATATATTTTAAATACTTTAAAATAATTTAGTACTAAACAAACACAATCAAATATATTTTTTTCGTAGGTTCAGAATGATTTTGGCGAAGTTATTGCATACACAAATTTTCACTTGTCCTATATGGCAATATGAGCGTTGCTATTTAAGCCAAGATCGCAAGTTCTGCCTATTCGGCACGACACACACACACACACACACACACACACATATATATATATATATATATATGCAATAAGATCACAGTAAACAGGTGATTTCAGAATATGCAAAACAGCCACTGTGAAAAAATAGAGAAATTCCAAGCGCTTTCGTGACTACTCACATTATCAAGGAACAATGAAAGTAAAGCATCAAGGGAAGGTATATAAAGGGGTAGCCCACACCTCACTATCAGATCCCACAACAAAGAAACACCTGACGCGAGCCTGCTGTCTCGCGTCAGGGATCTGATAGTGAGGTATGGGCTACCCCTTTATATACCTTCCCTTGATGCTTTACTTTCATTGTTCCTTGATAATGTGAGTAGTCACGAAAGCGCTTGGAATTTCTCTATTCTTTCACAGTGGTTGTTTTGCACATTATATATATATATATATATATATATATATATATATATATATATATATATATATATATATAATATATATATATATATCAGGCTATGATCATAATTCTTGCGTGGAGTTGTATAATTTACCAAACCCTTGAAACCTGTGGTAACTGAGAGTATTAAACACAACAGATATTATCACTAACAATTAGTTCCTACATCACTGACTTCTCCAAGCAAGATGTTCACAGAGTCAAGTAAACAGGACGTCAGCTTCACAAACTTCAGACAAACAACAAACACCAGCAAACAGTATTTCGCTAGATTTGCAAACAAGGCCAAGCAAATTTTTGGATAACTGACTGTCTTAAAATATTCATGGACTAACAGAGTAATGAATTATTTATTTTCTACAGGAATGTGTAAGACAGATTCTAGAGCAGGAGGGAAATATATGATAGAGATGGGAGGGAAGAATATGAAGGGTAAAGAGCAGTGAGGGAGTAAGACAGTAGTGAGGGAGTACTACTCACTCCCCACTCCATCAACACTCCCTCCCCTCCAACAGCCATATAATAAATTACAATATCAATTTAGGGTTTATGAGGTCTGGTCTGAGAGCACGTCGCGGGGACGATAGACCCAAGAACCATCAGTGTAACCAGAAGAGGACCCCAGATGGGGGTCGAAATATGCAGATTCTGAGTCTCTGTCTCCACTTGGGTTATTATTAAGCATAATCAGAGGGACTGATACCTCCAGACTACCACCCATCCTGTCGACAGTGGTGTTATACTCACATATATTCGACTTATAAACTTACCATTGAAAGATAAGCAGTCGGGTTATGGTGCCTTCGTTGGACTGCGTGTTGCTACCATCAATAGCCTGATTAATCGGACCATCCACTACAAGGGTCAGTCTGGGAGAGAAACATGGGTACTATGATACCCCGGAATCGACTATAAGTTGACAGCTGGTTATCCTTGACGGATTTCGAGAATTATCTTACTCCGTGGCTCGGCCAAACCTAACTAAACACCAGGTCAACCTGACTGTTGCTGTTGGAGAGGCGTTTTTCCCACTGCAATATAATAAAAGTCGGTCTGTGAGGGATCAAAAAACTGGTTTAGGTATATTGTCTTACACCGGGAAGGAATGTTCAAACTTCACACAGCACTGGGATCACAAAGGTCATTCAGTGACCTATGTAATAAAAATATTTGTACTCCCTTGTACTCAACCTACACCAACTCTCCTCCCTCAGAAATACATATTCATTTTTTTTACACAGATCAGTTTTAGAAGGTAAGAGGTGTTATCCTACCTTTATCTGAGGTATACCAACACCACCCAGAATGCCACCCACAACAGTCGACTAACACCCAGGTACCTACTTGCTGCTAGGTAAACAGGGGCAACACACGTAAGGAGATTTACTTAACGTTTCCACCCAAGCCGGGGAGTGAACCATGGACATTCAATATGTGAGATGAGTGTTCTCTCTCTCTCTCTCTCTATCACATACACACACACACATACACACACACACACACACACACACACACACACACACACACACACACACACACACACACACACACACATTGTAAAAATAGCAGGTTTCACTACTCCATGTCAGTTACAAAAAAAAAAAAAAAACACTTCAATTACTATACATTAAAATCAGGACCTAAAAGTTCATGGAGGGCCCGAAGGGACCTCGTTCAATAATACCAAATGAAAGACAGTCAAAATCTGCATCTCTTACACCATTGGAGACAACTTATTTTACACCATGAGAGATAACCGTGTTATCCTACACCATAGAATATAGACATCTTAATTCATATGAGATGACTGTGTTATCTTACACAGTTCGACTATACGCTCAGTGTAAAGGAAATATACTAACGATGCACTTGAACATGAGGACTGAGATACACTTATGAGTGAGGAAGATGAAGGGGGAGGGGGAGGGGGGAGGCAGACGAGAAGAACAGAAGGGTTGAAATCCATTACAGCAGAAAGCGGTAGATGGAGGGAGACGGACAGGGGGGAAATGGACGAACATGGAGAGATGGAGGGAAGATGGATCTAGAAGGGGGAGGGTAAATGGAAGGAGAGGTGAGAGATAGAGTGGGGGAGGTAGTGGTGATGGGAGGGGAAAAGAGAGAGGGGAGGAGAGTTGACAATGGCGCCACGATGCAGTTCACAGCTTTCAGATGATCAAGTTACGCAGCTTCGCACCCGGACTGGATCCTCCAACACCATCACCACCACCATCATTATCGCCACCACCATCGCCAGCATCACCACCACCACCAGCATCACCATCACCACCGCAACACGAGCACCCAACCCAAATCTCTTCAGCTACTCTCCGCGACGTAACCTTTCTTACTGCCCAGAGGAAATACTGAAGTGTTTTAGGAAGATGTCAGTGAGGATGGGGAATGAAGTGTGAAGCATCAAGTGAGTCTGGGATGGAAGAGGAGAGGCGATGAAGGTGGGCGGCCCACATGGTCATTTGATAGTACAGAAGCCCTTCACTCGAGCATTCTTTGTCCTTCCTTCACACCCTGTTAGATCACATGAATCCACCGCCATTCACTGCCTCGACCAACAAAAAAAAGAACTCGGCTGAACACTGAACAGCACTGATGTCAACTTAGGAGAATTGAACACTGAACGCGCCGGTCTGAGCACCTCAAATTTGAACGCCACAAGTTTGATAACTAATTAGATTCAGTGTGACACCAATAAGGTCACATTATGATTGGTTCGTATATACTCTTGGATATACCTTTGAAGGGGTTCGAGAGTTTTCCTACTCCTGCAGCCCTGCCCTGGGTCAGGCTTGTCTGATTCTTGCCTAGTCAACCAGGCTGTTGCTGCTGGCGGCCAGCTGGACGAGTTGGAAGGCTGGCTTTAACCTACATGATGGCGATACAAATTTAGTAAATTATACTGTGAGTAAATTAGATATAAACTGCACAATTTATAGTCTAAGGTAA